GTTCTTTGGGAACGCTAAGGGCCTATCACAGGCTGGACCTCTAGCTGCTCATGCCTGGGTACAACATTCTCTGTTGGAACAGAGCCTCCTGTTTTTAAACCCAAAAGATGTCACTAGAATACCCCTGCAGTATAATTTGCCCAAAGATTACATGTGCATAAGACATGTGGACAGCATTGGTGGTGCCTGTCTTGTTCAATATTACTCCCCCTGTGTGTCAGTTATTAAACTATTGTCTCTCAACTTCAAACACCCATCTACACCCCGCTTTGTGATCCTGGGACTCTGTAAACCACAGTCCTGCTTTGCCAGTTGGCTCCACGCTATTATCTGCCAATATGGGGCATTAGAGGTGGGAAGGAGACTGGAAGCTGGAGAAGGAAGAAGGGCTTGCTTTTTCCTGTTTGTGCCCTGTGAGTTTCCTGTTTTGCTCTTAAATGCTTGTAGTTCCTGTGAATATCCCCCCAGTGTCATTTCTTCAACCCAGCAGCAGCATTATTTTCCCACAGCACTAGCCACATCCAGTTAATTTTTCCAATCCTTGCAAAAGTAGCCCATCATGCACCCTCAGAGATACCAGCCAGCCAGAGCCCTTTTCTCAGAGTCTGAGTTTCAGTTCTGCTGGCCCCTCTCTCAAGCTTCTAAGTTTTAATAACTCCAACATTGTCCTTTTGTTCTCTCAGCCCTGAAGGTTGTATTAGCTTATTGCAACTGCTACCTTTACGACACCTTAGTCTTCTCTTTTTGCCTTTTTAGTTACCTAGTTAACAACTTTATTGCTACCTAACAACTCCTTATAAGAACTGGTGTGGTTTCTGTCTTCTGACTGAATCCTAACTGAAGTATAGCAAAGGACAAAGGCAAGGGCCTTTGTCTGGTTATGCTGTGTGCTTTGACTATGCCCGACAATGCTTATTTGAGCTTGAGCTACATCTGGTGTCACAAAAGGCAATAAAACAGAGTGAAACTGGTTTTGGCTTCCCGAACCTGGGCAAGTCAGCACAGCTGTTGGGTAGCTGGGTATTTTCACAAATTATCCTGTTTCCCTTATTTCTCCGCTTTCCTTTAACCTGATTTATTACTGCCAATTCACACAATTCATCTTAGTTACACTCAACAGTCGTTATGGTATCCAACTAGGACAAGTTTTACGAATTTTAAACCAACTCCATCCCTGCCCTCAATTACATGGGGAGGGAGTAGATGGTGTGGTAAATCAGAATGGCTCCCCGTGGTGCTTGCCTCCAGTACTCATGTGGTCACCTCCCACATTGAATAGGGTTGACATGTATAATGAATAGAATATTGTGGAGATGATGGTATGTAATTTCCGAGCCTGGGTCACAAAAGATGTTGTGAATTCTGTCTCACTCACCCTGGCTCTCTGGCTCTGGGAGATGTCAGTTTCCATATCATGAGGAAACCCAAGCAGCTCTAGGCAGTGGTCCTGGTGGTGGAACTAAAGACCCTCACAGACAGCCAGTGTTCATTTGCTAACCACATGAGTGAGCCACCTTAGAGAGCAGTTACTCCAGTCCCAGAGAATCCTTTAAGTAACTGCAGTCCTAGTCAACAGCTTCACTGCAACCTCATGACAGTCCCTGAGTTGGAACTCAGCTAAGCTTCTCCTGAATTACTGATCCATAGAAACTCTAAGATAATAAGTATGGTTGTTTTGGGACACTACGTTTTGAGGCAATTTGTTATGCTCCAGTAAATAACAAACATGGACCATTACATAAATCAGTACCTAACTTTTGTCTGTGTGATAGGTGTTATCACAGAGGTAGATACAAGAGATGGTAAAGATACAGGAGATGAAGTAGTAACCCTGCCAAAGACAATGTGACAGTGTAAGTGTTCATGTATTCTGTAAGCCTGCTATTAATGGCTACTTGTTGATTGCAAAATAATCAGATAAATGGGAGTGTTTATTTCTTTGTATATAGAGACAAACAAGCACATTTTCTTTGTATGAAAGTCTCCAAATGATGCTGAGAGCTGGCTTGACAGCCGTGGCTCCTGGATGATCAGGCCAGGAACCCACCGAATGGTCCCTGAGCAGGATTGATCGGCGCAAGGAAATGAGAAATGAAAGAATGGCATAGACACCAAAGTTGGGATTAGGAGGTTCACTGACTGCGGATGGCAGACAGGACAAATTTTGTTAAAAGGCATAGTGCTTATATAGAGAGCAAGTTCCTCTTTTACCAGGAATAAATCTTATCTAAGCATAGAGGTTCGGTAGGGGATTTTTGGGGAATGAGGAACCAATGTTCCTGACTTAGGAGTTTGGAGGTGAGATAATGTCTTGACAACAGGTTACATGATCATACAGCATAAACTAATAATATATTTTAAGTAAAGTGAAACTTAAGGCAAATAGCAACTGTCAGCAAGTCCATGATGGAAAAGTCCCAAAAGTTCGTAAGTCCATGGTAGGAAGTCTGGAAGTTCATATGTCCATAGACAGTAACATCTGAGGGTCTGATGGTTGTGGTTTGGGAGCTTCTGCTTTTCCAGTGCACAGGGGATGAGCTGGGCGTTGTTGGGTTACTGATTTTAGCAGTTCCCTTTTTGCTGTTCAGCCTACAAGCAGCTTTACAATCTTTTTCTCAGCACACAGAACTTGGAGGTCTTTAGCCACCTGTCATTCTCCACCTGCAGTCAACCTGGAGTCTCAGTACTCTGAGGCGGCTCCCAACAAAATGAGGACAATTTAGTTTTTTCTAATGGAGTTTGCAACTTTAACCAAGGGGCTAGATTCCTGAATTCATGTTTCTCTTTAATTTTCAACGTTGGAAAAGTAACCAACAATACATGGGGTCAAATAAAAAGCTTTCAAACAAAATATTTCAAAGACCTTTAACTCCTTGAACCCCTCCCTCACAAAAAGTTCTTTAATCAACTGGAAAGCCTCATCTTTCATAGAAGTCTAATAGGAATGCTGTCATTTTGTTTACCCTACTATGAGTGGCAGCTCAGACTCTGTGTCTGATTGTTTTTGAAAGATGTGGATATTCCTGCTTCCCCCATGTATAATTATGCTTGTTTGTCTACATGGGGAAGGATTGGGGAAATTGATAATGTATGTATTTACTGTATGGTGGGTCCTCTCTGAAGAGGATCTAGCTTCCCCTTCAATTGAAGGGTTCTGGATTTGAGAACTGGCTCAAGTTGGGAAACTGGATGGAGCGATCGTGATTTTCTATTGTGGCAGTTGACGTAGGCCTTTGGACCACCCATTATGAATATTTTTTGGATGAATAAATCAGGCAATACTGTTAGCCATCTCAGCTACAGGTACAGCATGACCTATTAGCTGTCAACACAGATCCCTGTAGGTCAGGGTCCCCTGGTTGCCATTCAACCTATTTGGATAATTGCATTTGTCTTGTTTGTATGGTTATGTGCTGCCTACTGGCTTCTGTTATTTTAGAATCTTATCATTCCCACTGCTACTAGGGTGCATCCTTGCTGTTATACCAGGTGTACAAAGCACAGATACTACTGAGCTTCTTAGTGAGACCAGTACCTGTACCCCAACCCCCGCATCACTGGCACATTTTTTTTAAATTGCTTTAATGAAAGGAGTGTCCCCTCTGGATTTTCCTGACAAACATGGGCATCTGGTGAATTTTCAGCTTTTATATGCTCGATCCATTCTAACATTCCCACCTCTCTGAGCCTCTTGACTTCTTTGGTGCTCTGCCAAAGCAGTTCTGGTATCTCCACCCCTTTGTCATGGGGCCATTATTCCTCCCACACACACGCTTTGAGGAGCTATCCCAGTAGCACAGAACTGACCCCAGGCGAACTTCTCAGGATATTACATCTTGATTTGCAGGAGATGGCCCCATTCCAAAAGCCTCTCCCTTTTATTCTGCTCCCCTGTTCAGCACGTTCATGATTGATTCCCAATATGTTTTTCTAGTTCCTGCTAGTACATGTGAGCCAAGTCCTATAGTTCTTTTGGTGAATTATTTCCCTAATCAAGCTGAGACTTGAACTTATTTATTGCCTTAGAAATCATGAGGGGAAGATATCATCTTACGAGGCATTCACATTAGTAAGACCCCTTGTGGTCTCCAGGTAAGGAGAGGCTGCTGTCCTGTGACAAGGGAGAGTGGGCCACTTCTTGAAGCCTACAGGTTTAAGTTTCTCTGGGGTGACTTATATTAAGAATGGAATACTTAGACCTAGAAGCTGTTTCAGAGAAGCAGAGGTCAAGTTTATGTGAGGGAGATTCTGTTTTTCTAGTTCAAACCTGCATTTGGTGGCTTTCCAGTCCACAGACCTCCACAGCTGGGGTTTGGGGGTCGCTATGGATGCTAAAACATGCCCACTCCTCCCCTGGTGAGTCCCCATGCCACCACTTCCGAGTCCTGAAACCTGCGATTGTGTATTACAATTACTCCGAGGCCGATCCCTGCACCCTCTCTGTCTTCCGGTGATGTGGCCACCACCTGCTTCCTCATTTTCCTGCTTAAAACTCTTCACTGACCCTCCTCACCCACCCCTACTCCGTGTAAAGCCCTCACTGGGTACTTGAATTCTCACCTTTCGCCTCCTGCCTCCTTCACCGGCGTCCACTCTGCAGGCAGCACTGGAAGCCACGTCCTCTCCCTGGTCCTGGGATTCTGCAGACCTCTCACGGTCCTGAGACACCACCCAGCATTGTCACATTCTCCTGGGGCAGGTACCTGCCTCTCCCCTGGCCTCGCCTTCAAGGTTCCTACCTCGGGGAATCAACCCCCTGCCCTCCCCAACCCCGGGCGATGTGACAGACTCCTGTCCTGTGAAACCTCCTGTTTCTTCCATCCCAATGCTCATCCTATGACAGTGCTGCTTGTGGTGTGTTGACAGCCCCGGTGCCCCACTGGGCAGTGTTCTTCTCATGCAGGGAGCATCTTTATTCCATTCCTGTATCCTCAAATTTTATTTACATTTGATCCCACATTTAGTAAATTTTTTCTTTTTAATGAAAAAAAAAGAAATACTTAATGTTCATCTGGGATTTATTTAAGTTGATGTAATGAAGACCCCCTCCTCCCTTCCATCAGAGAGGTTATTCTGGGGTGACACTAGGTCACATAAGAACAATTTTGATGAAGTGGTGGTGGCATGAGCCAGATGCACTGCTGAATGAATTGGAGGCAAGAAAATAGAAACACTACAGTGTGGACAATTCTTCTTAATCATGAAAATTATACAGAATACAATTTTGTTGATGAAATATGCTGTAGATCTTGCATTCATTACATCGTTCTTAAAGTAATAGGACACAGCGGATACTAAAAAAAGAAGAAAGAAAAGAAAAATAAGTAGAAACATTTCCAATGCAACATTTGTGTTTTGGATTTCAGATTTTCACTATGTAGACCAGTAAGTTAAGGTAGATTCCTTTCCCTTCATGTTATGTGAAACATGGGCAGATTAAACCAGTTGTCAGATTTTTCAAAATGACAGGAAGCTCCAAAGCTAAGGAATATTTAACACAGGTGTATACCCATGTGGGGAATACCAGTGCCTAGTTATGCCTGGTATCTGGTTTGTGGGCCAAAGATAGGTATCTGAATTTGGAATTCTAGGGATAATTTACCCTTTGAAATACAACAACAACAACAATGGCCTCTTTATAAACTATGAATTTAAACTGCAGTTAAAATTTTATGAGCTAACCTTATTAGCTAATATGTCACGTAAAAAAATGCCAAATGGAAATAAAATGGTGAGGGTAGGTGAGCACTTAAGTATTTCAGGATTGCATATTTTATAAACTGGGAGTAAAATCAGAGCGGAAAGAGATGCTTTACAGATTCCAGAAAGCTTCTTCAATGGTCTGTGGCTTCTTTATCCATGACTTCCCTTCCCCTGCCTCCCCTGCCTCCCATACACTCTTTCTCTCACCCTCAAACACTCAGACATAAAAATTATGTAAGGAACTTGCCATTTTCCAGTTTTCATGAATTTAACTGCTTCATTGATTTTGTCAAGACTCAGCGTATGGGTAATTAGTGGATCTAGATTAAACTTCTTTGCCATGTAAGCAGAAACCAGTTTAGAGACACTTTCTCTGCTTTTCCAGCCTGGAAGTACAACAGATTAATAGCAGATTTTAATCATGAGACGCACTCTACAAGAAGAGCCATACAGGGTAACTGCTGGAGGTGTTGGCTTTGACTGAGGAAATCTAAGGATTTCCCATTAACTTGTCTCAGTCATCAGGAGAATACCTCTCCTAACCATATACCTTGTATAGAAGGCTGTTCTCCTGAAGGTCTCAAGACCTTGGGTACTACAGAGGAGAACTTCCTTAAAGCAAGCGGACCTCATGTTAGATGTTCCGGGTGTCGGATTACACTGTCTGGGGAGCTGTAAATCCATATCTGATATATAACAAAGACCAAGCAAGGTGTTGGGAACCATGAAAGGAAGCAATTCAAATGTTAGAAATAAAACAGTGTGTGTGTGTGTGTGTGTGTGTGTGTGTGTGTGTGTGTGTATTTTGATCTGCAATTTCATGAGAGAGCCAAATATCTTAAGGGAGGAGAAGAATTTTCAGCATGGCAGTGATCTCAGTGACAGCTTTTGGAAAAAAGAATATGCACAAAGCAAGATAAGAATCAAATATGCCTACTGTAAGTAAGAATTACACAGGGAAAGATAGGGTCAGCTAAGGTAACAGAAGCTTAACATTGTATTTCCTCTGTTCTCATGATTTTCAAGGAATACTACCCTTCTATTTAGCACTGTGCTAAGCAACATGCCCAGTGAGTTACCACACAGCTTGGTGGCCTGCTTCTTTCTGAAAAGGGTGTGTGTGTGGTGTAATTTTGCAAGGAGGCAACAATATCCTAAGCAGCTTATTCTGTGACAGGCTCCTGGTACTTACTTGCTTTTCTTGGTTCCAGCCTAGGCCAGACTCTCTAGTCTTCCCACTTATTCTCAAAACTACCCAAAACTCTTCCAATAGATATGTTTCTCATTTAAGTTGGTTTCTGTTATATGTAATCCAAAATTCTAACTAATGGTGTAGATCATACATGAGGGGCTAGTATTTTTCTATTTGTTTTTATCTTTTTAAAAAATATTGAGATATTGGTCTGTAACATTGTATTAGTTTTAGGGGTACAATATAATGATTTGATTTATGTATATAGTGTGAAATGGTTACAATTAAACTAAGTTTAGCTAATATTTATCACCATACAGTTACAATTTTTTTCTTGTGATGACAACTTTTAAGATCTACTCTCTTTGTTTCTGTTTTCTGAATGGTGATCTGATAGGGCATTTTCATATCTATATAAGGAACACTTTCATTTGTTTTTTGTTTCTTATTTCAACCAAATAATCTGAAAAGGAAGGCTTCAGGACCACAGACTAGGCTAAGCAGCGTTTCTCAACAAGGGCACTAATGGCCATTTTGGATGGGGAAATCTTCATTGTATACATTGTAGGAAGTTTAGCATCCATTAAATGCTATCCTTAATTGAAAGCTGTTGCCACGCAGCTGTCCAGCCGTCTGTCCCCCCACACTTACCCCTAAACTGACCCTTTTGAGGACACTGCTCATACACCTTGTGTCTCCCTGTTTGGCCCCAAAAGATATAGATTAGCCAATGACAGGTAAGATTCCTCGAGGAAGGAACAACATAAGACAGGCACAGTCACACGGGGGTCATCAGGAGAAATCTCGGGGCTGATGGAGGTGGGCATAGGTCCTCACCGACCTCCAAGGAGACTGGAGGTTTTCTGCCTCTGTAGCTACATTCCTTCCCGCAACCTGCTTGGGAAGTGACCTGATGATGTGATACTATCTGTCCTCAGCATAATAATCTTATCTCCCTGGGGTCATATGTGTATGAGTGTGTGAAGGCAGAGCATTTGTCTGGTCATGTGGGCGGACTCTCGGTAATAGCAGCTTGCAGGCATGGGTAATCTGGCTTGAGCAAGTTCTCAGGAATGAGACTCAGACTGTGGAGAGAACAGTGCTACTTCGAGTATGTGGAGAAATAAAAGCTGCGTGTTGGCCTGATTCGGGGCTCTCAGTCCTGTGAGGCTCTCATTTAACTCTTGGCTGCTGTTTCTTTTCTTTTTTAACCCTTTGACGCCCGCTCCCCACCCCCACCCCTCAAATTCTCTCACTGCCCTTGTCGTGCGGGACGCCCCAGAGGAAGGAATTAAATTAATTATCATTATATGAATGTCTAAGTGGCCAGTGAAATAGTTTCCTTATGAAGGTTATTTAAAATATTGGTGATCTTAATTTGTAAGAGTTAACTGAGTATATGTATTTGGAATCAACAGTTATTGTCTATAAAGACAATAGGGGGAAATAGCAATGGGTACATAGCAATTATCCCAAATGGAGGAACTGAGAGTTATAGTTTAAACTGGATTATTACTTTTTCTTCTAGCCCTGCCATTTATCTATTTTTGTGAATAAATTAGCTAAGACTCCTAATATCTTTAACAATACACCACACTAGCTAATTTAGAGACCACAGATAGCTTACTAGTTCAAATAATTCAGATAGCTCCTAATTCTCATTTTTTTTTTTGCCCAAGAATTCAGATTGCCTCAAATCTCTGGCTAAATTCATTTCTTCTTAAATATCAGATTACTTACTTATGATCCCAGAATCTGAAGCAGATTTATTTAATTTAGATCTTTTTTCCTACTTTTTCAATAAAAGATTTCTTCTAAAGTCTCTAAAAAAATACAAGTTCTAAGACATGTTTAAAAAATGGAAAATCAAAGGATTCTATAAATTTTTTTCTTTTGAAAAAATAATTCTCATTTGCTTTTTATCAGTATTTGTTTTCCATCATGACTCCGTTACGTTTAATATGTTTGTTTTGGTAAAATGACAATTTGGTTTCAGGTAAGATTTACATTGGTTGAACAATGACTAACAATGATACCTAATGACTTCAGTATATCCTCCAAGAACCCCAACTGATAAGTATATAACTCAATTGAAGTATAGTTATTGATCTCAAGGTTGCTTTTTCTATTTAATTTAGGGTTTGCATTAAGCTTTGGATACTGGTTTCTCCATCAATCAATTTCAAAAAATCTAGTGTCTGCCTTTGAATGAGAAAAAGTTTACCAAAAGCAACTGTATCCATCCCCTTACCGTGGATATTTATGTGTTGAAACGAAAACTGTAATCTAAAGCTCTTATTTTATATCCCTTCTCAAGCATTTATGACAGATTTCTCTATTAGCCCACGTCCCAAATCCCACAAATTTCCACTCTTCCCTGTTTCGTCCATACCTCCAAAAACAGATCCCTTCAACGTACGTCCTGAGAAGAACAACCAGCCATTGATATTGAGTTGGACACCATATTTCAAGAGCCCAACAATCACGCAGACTCCATGGCTCTCATGGCAGGAGGCAAAGGCAGCTGCCTGTTGCAAAGCAATGCAAGAAAATGCAGGGGTTAAAAGATGTACTTGAGAGGTAGGGATGTAAGCTTAAATTTCTGCTTGACTGCTGAAAGGCCTGTTACCTTCTTTTCTGGTTCTCCCTGTCCTCATTTGAAACAACTTTTATCTTATAAGGATGTGCTGAAACATAAATAATACATTGTGTGCTTCCTTAATACAGTACTTGGCATTTTAGACTCCAATGACAGAAATTAAAAAATGAAAATACTAAAGGCACCTCTAGTAGTAGGAGTACTACTAGTAGTAACAGTAATAGTAGTAGTACTAGTAGTAATGATAATAATAATAATAATAATTTTTATAAGAACCATTACTAATACTGATGGTTACGGTTGATATTTTCTTTAGGTATCAAAGAGTACAATTGGATATTTGTATAGTGTCATGTATTAGCAAAGTGATAAACAGATGTGTTCCCATTAGTTATTTTCAAAGGATGTTTCTCACAGCAAGACTACCTGTGGGAAAGACTGTGAGAAAGATTTTGCTCTATCTTTTTACAGATGAGGAAATTCATATGTAGTGAGAGGCATGAAAACATTTTGTAAGCCAGGGTTGGAAGAGACAGTTCTTGGGTTTTCATACAGCTACTAGAAAATGGAACCATGAAACCTAATTATACGTTATTTCTACAAATCCCCAAAGAATGCAAGTCTCCAATTGTGAAATAATTTCCTCTCCATTTATATTCTTTTATATAACCCATGTTCAGCTAGAAAAACAATTTTTTTTCTATATTTTTGAAATGAATCCATTTAATCAAGATTGGTAAATATTTTCCTTAGAAGCTTATCTCAGATTCAACATGAAAGACTTTGTTGAAAGTAGAAAGCTCATTGATTTATAGGATCATTATACCAGTATTATCTTTACCTTGCTTAAATCTCTGGCTTGAAAGTTCAGTTACCAGGCTGCTGCTTGTTATGAAATAATTCAGTGAGAATTCTTTGCGAAACTTTTCTGTCCTGCACATTGGTGGTTGCTTATTTGAAGGAATGATATGATGGAACAGAGAGAGAAGAAAACTCAGGATGGGAGTTTGGTGTCTGAGTTTGAATAGATTTGTAGGGGTAGACAGAGGGTACCAGTTGGGATGTCGTGGGGCACAAGAAACATTAAACAGAGAAAGGTGGAGAAAATGTTAGAATTTTCATTCAGTTAAAATCTACAATGATTACTGGTAGAAATATTGGCAATTTTCACTCCAGATGATCACGTACCACCATGTCTGGATTTCCGATGACCTCAAAGCAAAATTCCACACCAGCACCTGTCATATCAACTAAAACTTCTTGGATGGGTTTCTTGAAGTCCTGTGGGCTGATGCACTCAGTGGCACCCACTTCTTTTGCTTTCTCAAATTTATCTTTGTTGATGTCCACCCCAATTATCCTGGCCGCTCCTGCCGCTTTACAGCCCATAATAACAGACAGGCCAACTCCTCCAAGGCCAAACACCGCACAGGTGGAACCTGGGGTCACCTGAGCACATAAAGGCAGGAAACAGAAACAAAGAGAACATGTGTCTTTACTCCGCTGCAAAGACTAAGTCTGCAGATACTTGTTCTGAGGCATAGGAAAGGATATTTTCAAATAAAACATATTACAACTAGAGTTTTAGTTTCTCAAGGAATTTCTAAATATGGGATACTTTTGTCAGAGGAGCAAAAAATTACCTGCAAATGGAAAGTTTTAACTCCCAGAAATCAGTATGAGTAGAAGCAGTTTAATGAACTTTCATTGAGTCTTAAGACTTATTTGACACACTGTATTTATTTAATTCCAGATATTTTTGAGTTCTTTAAAACCATCTCCATCTCCCTGCAACCCTTTCTTTCTTTTTTCTTATGGATATCTGTAAACTTGACATTGTCAATGCCTTATGAAGGCAAAAGTTTAGGTTTTTACTGGGTCCAAAATGAGGCTAATTTAAATTAAATCCCTTCCATCATATCTCTCTGTATAGTATTGGGACTAAAGGAAATTGGGAAAAATAAAGAACTAATATTCAAAGCCATTTAAAGAAGGGACCTGGGCAAGATTGATTGAAGTTCCAGAAAGAGTAGTTTAACAGTAATCCACTCAGTCAGTGAGATGACCTGACCTATCTGTCTTATACAGAAACACCCCCTGCGTCACTTGGTCTTTCTTTTTCTTTTCTTTTTATGATCACAGTTCACCACCTGATGTATTATACAGCAGAACAGATGCTTGATGAGATGTGTTAGCTGTTGAATCCTCATACCTGAAACAGAGAATGACTCCATAAAAGTTTGTTGAAAGGAAAAAAGAATGAACTGGAATGTGGAAGGACACATAGTCATTTTGTGACTGTGTTATGTTTAACTCTCAGGAATTCCTGATGTCTCTGCTTGTGAACGGCATCCAGGCTTAATTTTTCATTTATTGTTGACTAAGACGGAATGGGAAAGATGTCGAAGGGGATATGGGATGACTAGGCAGAGCGTAAAGAACTCAAGGATGTTTAGAGGCAGGTTTGCAATTCTTCCTCAGTTTGTATGATCAGATATGGCCCAGATGCCTGAGGCCTTTCAACTCCCAATACTGATTCCACTCATAATGGTTCATTCAAACAGCTCCTTACCTTGGCAGTGTTGATTGCAGCACCATATCCAGTGGAAAAACCACAGCTAATGAGGCATACTTTCTCCAGAGGTGCAGCTGCGTCAACCTTAGCAACTGAGATTTCTTTTAGCACTGTGTATTCAGTGAAGGTGCTTGTATTGGCAAAGTGATATACTGGTTTTCCCTTGCAGGTAAACCTACTGGTACCATCAGACATCAGGCTGGTTTCTGACTGTCTTTTATAGGCAAATAAACAAACAAACAAACAAACATTTTATTTTGAATTAGAAACCTTAGATTCCTCCCAAGGAAATTGAATTAATTTTTCAGAAAGAAAACGTTAGTAAAAACTTACTTGAATTGTATACAAAAGTTGTCCTCAGAATTAACGCAAGCAGCACATTGTCCACACTGTGGTAGAAAGAGTGTGATAACTTTATCACCTAAGAGAACAAAATCATTTATTAAGATGTTACCTTTTAAAGAGATAGTTGTCTCTTAGGACTTCAACAACAAGGCACCCAAGAAAATATGCTTACTGAGAATTATTTCCACATTTAACTGTGCTTGACACTGTGGAGAATATAAAATACTTAGAAAAAGAGATATGTCTGTGGCACATGTGTCTAGCTCTGGGCTCAGCGGCTGAATCCCAAGGAGCTGGCCCCAGATTTGCCATCTTTATAAGTACATTCCTTTTGAAACTTCAAATGATATTTGTCCTGTCACCATTGAGCCAAATATTACCTTACATTTTCTACACTAACTTCTGCTGTCAGGATTTGGATTTAAAATAGTATGGGTGCTACACAGTCACAGAATAAACTTCTAGATCTGGGAGAAAGGATTGTCTATATCCCGTGCTGTATATTTTACATTGGTTCTTTCCCCATGGCCATGGAAACCAATGGTTGGGAGATTTCTCTAGTAATGTTCAAAGTATAAGGAGAACATTAGAGGATTGTGATGGACTTACTGACCGCCCCGTTGTCTACCACCGTAAACTAGATCAATTTATTTTACATTTTCAGTTAAAACCTTTTGTAAGATTTAGGTTTTTTTGTTTTATTTATTTTTAGTTTTAAAAAAGTAATGCATTCAAATGGAAAGAACGTAAATTGCACCAATGTAAAAATTGGCACCCTAGCTCCAGTCCCCTTTTCCCCACCCTAGAGACAATTACTCTTATCGATATCCATAGTATCTTTCAGAGATATAACCCCTTTAAAATCACAAAAGCTAGCATACTATTAACCCCACTGGAGGCCTTGTTTTTCACTTAACAATACATATATCTCAGAGAGTTCTCATTTTAGTACATATAACATTCTATCATTTTATTCAATAGTTAGATAGTATTCTGTTGTATAGATATATCATAATTTATTTAACCAGTCCCCTGGACATTGATAGACATTTAGCTTGTTTCCTGTTTTTTGGAATTTTGTTCATTTGTTTTTTCCCCATGACATGAAAAACAACAATACAATGGATATTTTGTGCACATGTGGGCTGTGGTAGGCAGATATTCTAAAATAGCCTCCCAAAGGTGTCCCGTCCTAATCCCCAGAAACTGAATACATATGTTGAATGATCATGCCAGTGAATCTGTTACATGGAAAGAGGGGCTTTGCAAATGTAATTAAGGTGAGAGCTTTATCAATTAGTAAATGACATTAAAATAGGGAGATTATCCCGGATTATTTAGGAGGAGCCAATGTAATCACATGAACCCTTGAAAGAAGGTAAGAGGAAAGCAGAAGAGAAAGACAAAGTGATTCAAACCATGGGAAGGATTTGATGTGATGTTGCTTTGAGGCTGAAAGAGGGTGAAGGGGCCGCACAAGAAGGAATGTGAGCAGCTTCAAGGAGTTGAGGGCAGCCCTAACTGACAACTGGTCAGCTGAGGTTGAAGACTTCAGTCCTCTAACCTCAAGGAATTGAATTCTGGCAACAATTTAAATGAGCTTGGAAGTGGATTCTTCTCCAAAGTCTCCAGATAAGAACCCAGCTGGCCAACACCTTGAGTTTGACCCTGTGAGACCCTAAGCAGGGAACCTAGTCAAACTCACCCAGGCTTCTGACTTATAGAAACTGTGAGATAATAAATTTGTTTTGTTTTAAGCTGCCAATTCATACCTGCTTTCAGTGTGCTCACTCCTTCTCCCACACTCTCGACTATTCCAGCCCCTTCATGGCCCATAATGACAGGAAAACGGCCTTTATCCTCCAACACTTTCATTTCTGTACCACAGAGCCCTGTGGCCACAATCTGTATGGAAGGCAAAGAGTAATATAATTTTCTGTCTTAGATAAAGGTGTTTTAAAATTGTTAATGTTTTAAGTCTTTTTGCTAATTTGATATGCTGCATTAATATCAATTCATTCATTTCTAAGTTTTATTTTGAGATGTGTCGATAATGATTTGTTTAAAGTGATGCAATGTTTTTCATTAGCTAATTTCAGAGTCAAAATGATGATTTTAAAACATAGTGGGGAGGCACAATGGGTTCAGAAGAGACAATTGTAAAACCACAGTGTGACAAAAGTTCTCATCTAGTCTTTCATTGGAACTTGTGGTTAGGAGCGTAGAGGAGAGAGGCCAGTTATGGGAATGAAGTAGTTGGAACACAGTAAGGAAAAAGATCATATCTCCTATTATAATTGAAGCCTTAATTTATTCCACACAAGGGCTTTATAGTTGTGTTATTGGTATAAGTCATAATTCCACTTTTTGTTGTAAATCAGCCAGATAATTTAAAATGGAGGCACTCTAGAGCAGTAGTTAAAAGTTTAAGACTGAATTCCTGTCTCTGCCCTTCTTAACTGTGTGACCTGGTGGTAAATGATCCTTCATGAGTCTCAGTTTATGCATCTCTAACATGATTATGTGGTTGTGCATGCACACACACACACACACACACACACACATCAAGAATTGAAATCTATTGAGAGGATTATTAGAAGAATGCCATAAAATTGATAACAGCTCAACTGTGGGAAATAGTCAGATCTCATGGATCTAGAAGTCCATTAAGCAGCCTTTGTCTTCATCTCTCTACTTTGATTCAACATGTACACAACTGCATTTTCTTTTATTCTCTGCAGATGGGCTTTCTCTTATTTATCATTATCACATGGTTATAAATGGCTATCAGGCCTGAGTCCATGTACCCTCTCCAGTGCCCACCGTCCCCTGCTTTTGTTTAGCCTCTATATCTTGTTTAGATTTATGGGTGAGAGATTCAGATTTGAAGCTTGTCAGGTAGTGGTTGGATGCCTTTAGGTCAGGGTCCAAATCTGGTTGCGTGAGTTGTGACCCTGTGGGTAGGAGTGGTTGGCAATAGCCCAATGACCCCCTGTGCACTCACAAGGGGTGTAGGCCAGAGAAGACTCTCTGAGAAGAAGACATAGATTGCACATGTTAGGGAACTTAGAAAATGACTGTCTCTTTGTAATCCATTAACTAACAGCAGTACTTATTCATCATTATAAAATTAAACAAAAATAATGAAAGGATTTTGAACTAGAAGTCAGGTGAACCATGTTCTGGTCTGGTGGCCCCCTGTTAGAATCATCTGGGGAAGATTTAAAAATTCTCATGACCAGGCTGCACCTCAGGTCAATTAAATCACAAATTCAGAATGTCTGGGGGGTGGGTCCCAATTCTCAGCATTTTTCAAAGCTCCCAGGTAATTCCAAATATGTAACCAAGGTTGAGAAAAACTGTCGAAGTCTGTGTTCTTACTCTACTGTGTGACTAGTCACTACACCTCAGTGGATTTTGATCTTCTCATCTGTAAAATAACAGGTATGCCTAGCCAGACTTTCTAGGATTAAGACTTGATTTATCTGTAATCAAATAAATTTTGGGCCAACTGAGTGGCTCAGTAGGTTAAGAGTTAGCTTAAGAGCACAAGTTCTGAGCAACAGGGCCAGCGGTTCGATTCCCACATGGGCTAGTGATGCTGCCCCTAAGCTGAGCTGCCTCTGAGCTGCCAATAGGTGACAGGATGGCTCAGTTGGTGAGAGCACATGCTCCTAACAAGACTGCCTGTTTGATGGTGGGCTATGACTGCCCACATCTAAGACTGAACTCGGCACCTTGAGCTGAGTGTCGCCTGGATGGCTCAGTGGATAGAGCGTGAGCTATTAACAACAAGGCTGCTGGTTTAACTCCTGCATTGGATGGTGTGGCTATGCCCACCCACAACTAAGATTGAACACAACACCTTGAGATTAGAGGCCATGAGGTGCTGGGCAGCCAGATGGTGACTGGCACCCTCCACAACTAAGATTGAAGAACAACAACTGGGCTGGTCCCCCTCCCTAATTCCCCAATACTGTTCTCCTCCCCCAGTTCCCCAATTAAAAAAAAATCTTAAAATTTATTAAAAAAAGTAAAATTTTCATATATCATATTTCAAGATAAATATCATGAAGAATGTCATAGATAAATTTAAAAGTACACATTAAAATATAGTTTGTGGGTAGCAACTTCTTTTAATTAGTATTTAGTCCTGCAACTGTGAATAAGTATCCTTTGGGTAGTTAGCCTATGTCGTACCTCCTTAACCTTTTCTCTGGTTGGATTTAAAGATGGATAGAAATGTTTAATGAAGAAGAAATAGAATAGTATGTAGTTTTCTTTCTGAATTTAACATTGTGAAAAGAATATATAAGTTTCAGTGAGCAGATATGATTTTTGGTATGGAACTGTTGCGATTTTTTTTTTTTTACCTTTATGCGAACTTCCTTTGCCTTTGGTGGGGCCACTTCTACCTCCTCAATAGAAAACGGTGTGCCAGCCTCCCAGAGTATGGCTGCTCTGCACTTGATAACCTGGGCAATAGGATATGGGGCAGAAAGGGAAACTCTTAGCGTTGGGAGATGGATTTCTATATTAATGATTATTAGAAAGCTTAGTGCAGTTCTGCACTGAAGTGAAAAAACAAAAAAAAATCATTGCTTAAATATACGCTGTATGTAACTTCTGAACCCCAATCCACCTTTTCTTGTATTAGCAATCTCTTTATTCAAATTAGGTTTGCAATGCTAATTATACTTACATAATGTTATACAACTAAGAAGATAGACGTCATGCTTTTGATCTTACCATGAATCAGTTTTGGGTGAAGAAGTAAGTTATGGGTCAGGGAATGAAGACCATCTAGTTGTGGCCATGGTGACTGGCAGGTTGAGGTTGTTGGTGGCAAGGTAGTTCTTAGGGGTTCTGATTTCAGCTCACCACTGTTCTCACTATAAATTCTCTTCCTGTGTGGTCTCACCTATTTTATAGATTCAACCACTACCTTTATGTAGATGACTTTGACAACCTGTATCTATAAACAGACTTGTCCCTAAGCTTTGGACTCATTCTCCTATTTAAATGTCCTATAGATACCTTAAACTGAATATGTTAAAATATGAATGCATCATTATTTCTTTCTCCTGCTCCCACCCCTTCCTGCCAGTGGGGGACACAGCACATAATCTGCTCCTTGCACTGCATGCTCTATTTCAATGAGTGGCCATGTAAGTGATTCACTCAGCCAAGAAAAACGCCTGAGAAGTAGCCTTAATGTTTCTTTCTTTCTCGACCTCCCCAATATAAAACTTTCTGGAATCTCTCCCTTGTCCTCCATTCCTGCTACTACTGTGTAGTCCAGGTCCTTACCTTGCCTCTCACCTGGTTTGGGTTAATCACCTCCAAATCTACCATCTGTATCATTGCCATCTGCATTATAAGCCCAATCATGCTAATCCCCTACCTAAAAATGATATTGCTACCAATTGTTTATCAACATCTGTTGACATGGTCTACAAGACTCTCTATGACCTTTTCCCTATCACGTTCTCCAACCTTATTTCCAGTAAATTCCTGCCTCTGAATTTACCGTACTGGCACAAAAAAATGTTCTGGAGATTCTCATATGGATATTTTTCTTCCTTCTGTGTTTCTCCTCATATTAGGTGTCACCTTTTCTGGGAAGCTGAGCCAGGTTAAGAGTACTTCCTCTCTTTCTCTTTTACTACCCTTGAATCTCTTTTATAACTCTGTCTCTTTGTGAGATCCTTGAAGGAGGGGATATGTCTTCAAATCTGGAAAGTTTGATTTAGGTCTTGATATATTGCTTACTGAAGGACTGAAAAAAAATAAAAACGAAAGAAAGGCAAAATACATAAAGGGAATAAAAGAAAAGGGAAAGGAGGAGAGATACTAAGATTAAGACAGTCTTTCATCTTTAGGAGTATAGAGACTACTTGGGTGATGAGGTGCTGGTAAATAAAGTGCACAAATTGACACAATTGTGACATGACATAAAGGAGTATACTGTACTTACTTTTCCTGTAGTACTCATGCTGACTATCTTCTTGCCACAGATGAATATATTGAGAAAGGTAGATTCTGGTTACAATTTTCACTGTGGAAAGTTCCAGAGTACAAAGATCACTGATCGATCAAGAGGCTGAGCTCTTTGTAGTTAACACTCCAGATGCCTGGAAACTCAGATTGTCCTGTTTCTTCAGGGAGTTTCCAAAAGATAATCTGAAATAGACTTAACTCAGTGAAAGTGCACAAAAAGTGAAATTGTGCATTGGTTTTTCTCCTCTTAGTCATATCAAATACAATTAGTGTTGCAAAATTAATTTGAATACAAAGACTGATAAACACAAGAAAAGTTGGATTGGGGTGTGAGAAAGTATATGCAACATATATTTAAGCAATGATTTTATTTATGTATTTATTTATTTTTGGTGTGAGTGCAGAAGAGCTGGACTATACCTTCTAATAATCATTAATGTTAGTATCTACTCCGTTGAGTTTTAAATTTGATGTCTTAAATGTCCAAATTTAAAGTTTCTATTAGAGTTTATAAAGTTGTTTCTTTCATGTTGTTTTTCAAATGCAGATATAATCATTTGTGCCTCTAAACTTGAGTAATCCTTTTTATTTTCCAAACCTGTGTCCCACTGTTGAGGAATCAGGTTGTTGTTAGGCGGTTTTTATTTAGTAGTTTAGCACCTCTTGGTATGCTGAGCTGGTTACTCAGAGCAAGTGAAAGCAGTTTGCATTTGGAACCTGACAATCAGGATTTGGATTTGAGAAAATCTCTCTGTGGACTAAGAGAGTCTTGACTGAGACCCAGGACCGTGGTGAACAATGGGGACAAGGAAATACATTTCCAGTGTAAGGCAGCACCAGTGGGCAGTCTGCTAGAAGGGAACAGAAGAAGAGTAAATGCTCTTCTGGGTTAACTGCTATGATCATATGATTTTTCTTCTTTAGCGTGTTGATATGGTGGATCACATTGATTAATTTCCAAATGTTGAACCAGCCTTACATGCCTGGAACAAATCCCACTTGGTGTATAATTCCTTTTATATATTGATGGATTCATTTTGCTAATGTTTTGTTAAGTATTTCTGTGTCTATAGTCATGAGAGTCATTCATGTTAGTTTCTCTTTATTTGCACTCTCTTTTTTAAAGAAAGCAAGGTAAACAAATAGCTTAAGTATTTTATTTGTTTGCAACTAAGCTTGTTAATACTATATAATGAAAATGTACAAAGAAAAATGTTGCAGTTTTTGGTTAGATTTAAGTCGAAGGCACTCATTAATAAGAAATCTTCCAATGCGAATATTCCAGAAATTTCTCTAAGCCTCCTGACTGAAACTGTCCCTGAATATTACCTTACTTTAATTTAGAAGGTATTGGCATAAGTTTGAATTAAACTCAGAATTTTTCAAAGTAAGCCCTAATTATAAAATCTATTCTGTATTCAAACTAACACAATTTTAATAGAACTTTCCTTTCCAGAAACAATAATAAATGAAACAAGGCATTGTGTAAAATGTGATCCTGAACAAGTCACAGTAAAAAAATATATAAATGTATACTTAACTGCCACCTCCACAAAACAGAGGCTGCTTTCTGTTCCTCAGCCCTGGCAACAAGGTGAAGCGCTGTCTGTATGCAATTTTGGGCTGGGGGTCGCCAAAACAAAGATCAAGCAGTTGAACACGGGTTCCACTCAAAAGAATTTGGGGGAAGCTGACCAAAGGATCCAATCTACGTGTGGTGACTGATAGAAAGGTGAAGCGGCTCCCCCCAAGTAGCAGTGCCGTGGGGCCTAGCCCAGCCCTGTGCACCTTATGTGATGCTCCACCTCCAGGGGAGACTTTCCTCTTTTCAGAGGTCCAGGGAGTTCTTTGTGTGCATGAGGTGAGCACAGACTCCACGGAAGTATTTTAAGGCTTGGAGTCAAAGTGCTTTTCTAACATGGCTAGGCAGCGTTCATTTGCCAAATAGCCCCTCTCCGGTTTGTTCTAATTCCTCACCGTGCATTTGCAGACTTAGGACCACAGACCTTTGCTATATCATTATAATCACATTTAATGTCCATCCTAACTTATGATTCATATTCTGTGGCTGGATACAGTTCCTGTTTTTAACAGTAATACCTCCCCATAAAACAACCCACGGTTACAAGTTATATGGTCACAAAACATTAATGATATTCTGTAGGCCAAGTAAATGTTTTTAACCATAATTGTTTTGCGTCAGATTTACAGCCAGGATCTCCAAGATCAAAAGAAATTTGCACAATACAAATAATACCTTAAAATGCACATACGCGTACACACACTCTCACACATTACAGAACTGTGCTTGGGGAAACTCCATTTGTTGCGTGCCACAGAGGGCATATTTTGCTACACATATTTTGCTCCTGGTACTTTGTTTTGAAAATCTGTCACAGTACAGCACAACCGTTTATTGGATGAGTAGAAAAGAAAGACATGCTTGTGGCAACCAGAAAGTTTTAAGGTCTTTCAAGTTTATTGTATAAAACGGACCTGCAGAATCATTTAAGTGTTCTCAGGAAGCAAAGGTGGAACAGAGATGTGATATCGAACCAGCTGCAACAAGGGTACAGCTGCCATCTCTTGAGGTCAAATCTGGCACCCAGATATGCAAGAAAGCTTCAGGACACATAGCTTGCGGGCCTTGTCCCATGTCGTTGCCTAATCTGATCATGTGTGAATTTCACAAAAGATTCATGTTACTTTGCTAGTTTGGTATTAAGAATTTGCTCATATTCCTCCCGAATTTTATTTTCATAGTCTTTTAAGAGACGCCCACAATATTATTCCAACTTGTCGGAGAGTAAATGTGGGCAGGTACCTCTTCACCCAGGAGGAACTGGAGAACTAGGTGCTGTGACTGCTGAGGAGTGAGACTGACTTTCCCAAGTACAAGCTTCATTGTGATTAAGAATAACTTATGAATGTCTCCACCTGATAACGACGAAATTCTTGCTTTGTGTTCTGAAACATTTGATCCGGAGCTAGAAGGCGCCTCTCACAGCTGGGCGGGGCAAGCTGCTTCAGTGTCTGCTGTGGGGTCTGCACCTGGAGCCGCGGCAGGAGGGGCCTGAGGCCGGGAGTGGGGTCGCACGGAGCGGCGCAGCGCCGCCGCTTCGGGGAACCCAGGCTCAACAGCGCCACCTCCAACTCCAGGGGCCGCTTCAACGTCGCCCCACACGTCACGGCGCTGACCCGCCGGGGACCAGGATCGGTCGCGGTTGTAACTGCGGTCCAAGCTCGGGCTTCTGAGCGGAGCTCGCAAGCCAAACCGGCTCCAATGGCTCCTGCAGCACTCAACAGCCTGCACCGTCTTTGATTTTGATGTCACCGTAATACTAATTTCATAGACTTGATCCCTCGTCTTCTATTTTTGTGGGAGAGATTGTGTAGAATTGGTGTTAATTCTTTAAATGTTTGGTAGAATTCTCCAGTAAAACGGTCTGGATCTACAGATTTCTTTTTTGAGGATGTTTTAAATTATGAATTCAATTACCTTAATACTTGTAGGGCTTTGCAAATGATAGATTTCATATTTGGTGAGTTGTGGTAGTTTGTGGGTTTTGAGGAATTAGTCCATTTCATCTAAGTTGTCAAATTTATGTGTGTGGAGTTGTTGATAGTATTCCCTTATTTTTCTTTTGATGTCTGCACTGTCTGTAGTGATACTCCCTGTTTTATTCCTGATATTGGTAATTTCTGTTTTTTTTTCCAGTCAATATTGCCAGCAGTTTGTTAATTTTATCTACTCTTTTAGAGAACCAGCTCTGTTTCATTCACTTTTCAATTTTATTGATTTCTGCCATTATCTTATTTTTTTCCTTCTGTTTGTTTTGACTTTATTTTGCTTTTTTATTTCTTGGATCATGCGGTGTGAGCATAGATTACTGATTTTTTGCAATGTTTCCAATTTTCTGATGTAAACATTTAGTGTTACAAATGTCGGATTCAGTGCATCTTTAGCTGTGTCACACAAATTTCAGTATGTTGTTTTTTAATTTTCATTCAGTTCAATGTATTTTTTAAGATTTCCCTGGAGTCTTCTTCTTGGACCTATAGATTATTTAAAAGTGTGTTGTTTACCGGCCTGCTAAGTGGCGCGATGGTTAAGAACTGGCTTGGGATGCCAGAGAGCCCCGGTTCGGATCCCACATATGAGGGACAGTGACACTGCCTTCCACAGCTAAGATGCTGAACAACAGCTCAACCTGAAGCTGGGCTGCCATGAGTCGCCAGCGACAGCGTAGGCTGCAGCCCCTGTGGCAGTGGGTTGCCATGGGCTACCGTGTGTAGCCAGCAGCCAGCGTGAGCGG